AGATGCTAGGTATTCCTTATTCCCTTTAAATTTGTATCTCTAATTACTCATCTCAATGGATGAACATTCAAGCTCATTTTTTTTTAATTGGCAAACATTCCCCAGTGGACAGGAGTGAAACATTCTTAATAACCAAAGTTAAAGAATGGTCAATAACAGTAACTTCTGTGTCTGAATAACATTTTTCTCGTAATCGAAGGGACCCACAAGAGGTCAGAAAGAGGACTCCAAAAACAGAGAAGTCAGGATGATGCCAAAACTTCCCTTTTTTTTGCAATAAATTTTAAAACTGACCTCAATTCTGGGATGTTCTCTTTATTTTCATCTTCCTGTGAACTGATCATTCACAGCTTCATGCTATCTAGATCCAAAGGTTATCCAAGGGTATACTTCTCTGACCCTATAAAACTTATACTGTGATGCAAACTCACTAATGTGAAAACACCAGGAAGACAGAAAGCAAATGTAGAGAAAACAACAGCAACAACAACAAAAAACTGGCAAATACCAGCATGACAATTCTATCATATGAAATTATCATCTTCTATCATTCTTTCCTCCACTGTTGTGTTTTACAGATTATCTTTTAAAAAAGTTTTGTCACAACTCTTTTAGTTTGGCGTTCAGTGTCTAACAGAAGAGGAGAGGTGATAGTTTTATTCTGATCCTTTTCTAGACAGTTCTTGGTATTAGGTAGGGATAGATGAGGGTAAACCTCTTGTGACCTAAGGTGCACTAGTTTCCTCATAGCTGAAAAATATTGACTGTAAAAGCCTCAGAGAGTTCTAAGGAGCACATTTGTTGTGACATGAGAAACAAATTTGAGAGTACAAATCATCTGGAACATTAAGCAGTTATCAAAACTGCAATGTCTGGCTGGGGATTTAGCTCAGCAGCATAAGCGCCTGCCTGGCAAGTGTGAGGTCATGAGTTTGATCCCTGGTACCAAAAAAAAAAAAAAAAAAAAAAGCTGCAGTGTCACATGCACAAGTAATTGTGCTGTAGCTGCAAGTGTGATAGGGATGTCTGGAGTGTGATCTAGAAGGGGAAAAAGAGGAGGATCTGGAAAGGTCTTTCTTATTCTCATGACTTTGGGGATTATGATCCTAAATAATGAAATCTCCAGGGCATTGATTGGAAGCCCACTATATTAGAAAAGGTCAAAGACTTATAAGCGAGACTAAGAAGAACATGGGAGACTTACTTTTGGGGAGAAAATGCATTGCAATAAAAGAAGTAACCACAAGGCCAGTTTCCCATCTGAAGTAATGACATGCTGGAGTTCCCGTAGAGAATCATCCTGAAAGGGTATAATCAGTTAGTGGAATCCGTGACCTCAAGATCAAATGTGACCAACCAATTAAACAGGGACACAGACCAAAACACGTCTAGTCATGCCAACACTATAGAGGACCAACAAAAAATGGGCATCCTTCTCCTGTCTGTTAATACAATTTTAAATCAAAATTGGAATCAAAGCTTTCCTTGTGGACATCTCCATCTTGATTCCAGGAACTTTAGCCCTCACTGCTTTAGCAAGTTGGACCTTGGATCATGTCAGATATTTACTATTGAGCTCTCTGTCTCCTCTGTCTCCCTCTCTCCTCTATCTCCACCTCCCCTCTCTTTTTCCCACCATTGTGAAGCCCAAACCAAGAAGTCCTAGGCCCTAATCTCATCCGTGGCCTGTGCCAGAAACATGGTGGCAGAACACACTGTTTTACTCAAGGATTGCTTTTATGTTACTATTCTAGAATTATAGGGAGTTAAACCATTTCTGATGGTTCTTGCAAAATTGAAGAGTATGAATCCACAAAGGCATAAACTGTTCTTTTTCCTTTCCTGTAGTCTCTTTGGAGGTCATTACATTCTAAACACACTGAAGAGAATCTTCTCATAAAATGGCAGAGGCTTGCCGATCTGAGAATAACAAGAAGAAAATTATAGTAGATGTCCCACCTGAGATAATGGAATGGAGCACAAAGTAAAATCAAAAGCATTTGTGTAGACTGGGGATGGAACTCAGGGGGAAAGGGCTTGGCTAGGATACCTGAAGCCTATCTTTAGTACTAGGGAAAAAAATGGTACTGTCTTATTTTTAGAAAAAAATTCATAAATTCAGGTGGTCTTGTCATGGAGTTACTGTAAAGCCCGTACTGACAGAAAAAAGAAAGTATACTTAGGTAGTCTCTTAAATAGGAAAGGAAGTGGTATTCTTGGAGGTTCTCACTTCGAGGGTCTCCTCAGCCGCAAAGGAGAAAGGATTTATGCAGTTATTTTTCACTGTGGCTAAATATATTCTGTGTATTTTGATTCTTTATTGCCTGTTGGGAAAAGTTTAAGATGTTGATTATCTGACACAAAGTTTTTTGTCCACGTTCACTTTAATAGTATCTGGCCTCAGGAATCAAAGAAATGTGAAAGTGGTCAAAATTTGCGATATAGCACATGAAATCTTTTCAAAGGGTTAAGGCTGGCATGTTGAACCACCAACTTCCTGAACTGTGATGTCTCGTGTGGTGGATTCATACCAAAAGGCCAAGGGGGATGGGGTTTAGCTCAGCAGTGTAAGCACCTGCCTGGCAAGCACAAGGTTATGAGTTTGGTCCCTGCTTAAAAAAAAAAAAAAAAAAAAAAAAAAGAGGAAGAAGAAAAAAAAAAAAGCCAAGGGAATGATGGCATTACCTTTAATGCTGAGTCAGATTTTAAGAGAGACTTTTTTGCTACTGTTCAATTGCTCGTGTGTGCTAACCAATAGGATGAAGGTCTAATGTGTGCTGTTATTCTTGGCCCTACAAATGTCTTCCATCAATGGCTTGAGAGCCTGCTATTAGACAGTGAGAAGAGTAGTGCGATCTATCATAACTGTTTTTACATCAGTGGCTTGTAGCTGAATTCCTGTCTCATAGCTGAAACTCAATAAACATTTTCTTCATTATAGTAGTAATTCCTTCTGGTATTCTACCTAATTTTAATATCTAGCAAGTGCAATACAGCACAAATAAATTCAAAGGAATGGGACACAGGGGATCTACAGAATGATGAGTGAGCCTACACACTCCCACAGAATAACAAAGGTATGTCCGTGTATTAATTCCTGGAACCTGTGAATTTAACTTTTCTTGGGGGGGGGCGGTGAGTTTTTTTGCAACTGTAATGAACCTAAGGTTCTTCAGATGAGATCATCCCTGTTCAGCTCTGGGTCCAAATGGGTTCTAAATTCAATAAGAAATGTTCTTTAAAAAGATACATAGAGAACACACACACACACACACACACACACACACACACACACACGAGAGAGACAGGTTTGCAGTGATGATTCTATACCAATAACTTCAGGCACTCATCAGAAACTAGTAAACAGATGTGGAACTGATCCTCCTTCAGACTTCCAGAAGAAAATGAAACCATTGTCACTCTGATTTCAGACTTCAAGATTTTGGAGTGCTCAGAAAATGATTTCTGTTGCTTTAAGCCACCAAATTTGTGATCCCATGTTATGGCAGCCACAACAAATAAATACAGAACCTATAGGAAATCCAGAAATAGAAGACTATAATTATTTTTCCCCAAATATTTCTGTGGCATTGACAGTCCCCTTTTCATATTGATACAGTTCTTGGTGAAATATGGGCCACAGTGTCTAGCAAAAGCCGCTACATGAGGACTTCCTCTTTCTGAATTCTGGTCCAGTTTCAATTTAGGTAAATGATTCTTTCTCTCTGGACTTTAATTTTCTTACTCTAAAAGGTCATCGCCCACTGGCTGCATCCACATACTTCCGGCAATGTCTGAGGCAGAGCAGAAGGGAGTGAGCTTGTGGGAGGGGTGTGTGTAAGAAAGAATCACATGAACCACACAATTTAAGGCCTGGTGTGTACAATGTTAAACCAACCAGGAAAACCAAAAGAATTAGTAAATGATAGAATAGTTATATGGAAAAAATTAAAGAAAAAATACAGGATTTCTCTGCCTGTTAACCACAAGTAGATTTTAACTGGCTTTAAAATGCTAAAAGAATTAAGTTGAAGCACCATCTAGTGGTTCTCAAATGTGTTTTAATGAAAGTTGTTCCCAAATTTTCTCAATTTGAGACATAATTGATTTCTTATGCACATATATGTGTTATGCATACATGTGTTCAAAATATAATAACAATTGGTTTTTCTTCCATCTGAAGATACGTATAAAAAGATAAGGGTTAGAAGAGAATAACTGTAGCTGTTTTATTCTCCTGATTTAATGGCATCTAGAAACACTCTTATATCATGAATTTGCATAAATCTCACCAACAAATGAATGGAGTTCATTCGGTGAGAAAATAGTTAAATTAGTTGAGGAGACTCACAATTGTAACCACTGCTATGTAGGAAGGTTGAGGCAAGAGGAACTCAAGTTCCAGCTCAGCCTAGGAGACTCAATGAGACTCTGTCTCAAAACTGAAAAGGGCTGAGGATGTAGTTCAGTGGCAGAGCAATTGCCTAGCAGGAGCAAGGCCCTGGGTTCAATCTCAGTAACCAAAGGGGAGGACAGAGAGGAGACTTAGTATGATAAAGTGTAATAGATCTCAGTTCTTCTTTTTCCTACTCATATCCTCTCTAAGAGCCCACAGCTGTATCTTCATCTTCCTAATCTTGCAATGCACACATGTCCTTATAAGTCTAGGGATTAGCCGGTAGGCTACTGGATGATCTTTGCACACCCCCAGATTCCCAAGTGCTTTCCTATCACAAGCCCACAGCTTCCCTTGAATTTAAATGAACAAAAATTCTTCTATAATTATTACAGAGACAGCTGTTATACATACGATGCCTAGCTTCTGAGGTTAGGTCTACTTCATTACCTTAAAACAGGAGCAAAAATAGACCATAACATGCAAATAAAGAGAGCACAACCTGTTGTTGCATTATTGACAGCAAACCTTCAAATACCAACTAGACATTTGTACCAATTAGGATTAAGGTCAGTTATATGTAGAAAGAAATCTAAAGCAGCAGTGACATGGACAAAACAGTTTATTCTCCCTCACACAAAGCCAATAAGTACATAGTCTAGAGTTGGTAAGGAAACTCCATGATTATCAGGCTCTGGATCCTTCCAGCTTTCTTTTTCTCTGTCTTATTGAGGAGCTGTCGTTCTCAGTGTTAATCATGGTTGCAAGTTGGCTGCTGGAGCTTCACTCATCATCCCTGGGATTAAGAGGAAAGTTAGATCTAGTTCATTACCCTTAAACAGGAGCCAAACTAGACCATAACATGCAGATGAGTAGAGTACAACCCGTTGTTGCGATATTCCTTCACCTTAAGGAGATTTTCTGAAGACATCTCACAAGATTTATGTTTACAACTCATTTTCCAAAACCAATGGTCATATTTTGCAAGAGAAACCAATAAATACCTTTGTACATCCCTATAATAAATGAAATTTGAATTATTCTAATAAGCGATATATTGATTACCTGAGGGACATAGAAAAACTACCCAGCACTGTTAGTTTTTTGTTGCTGAAGCACTTTCCTCTTTAAGCTGAGCAGCAAAGTGGTTTCACTTTTGTTAGTAAGAGCTCACAAAGGGCCAGGGGAGAACAGATAAATCATCCTTGGCCTTTATGGTGGCAAGACTCAAGCATTTGCGTGTTGTATTCACTGTGTGCTAAGGCACTGAAACAGGTTTTGCCAACTATTACAAGGATTCTCATAAACTCTAAGGTCTAAATAGTGACGATACCATTTAAGCTAAACTTTAAACATGAAAGTTTTATTGCAAATGGCTGCTTTCTTGTCATGTCTTATTGAGCCTAAATTGACTTTTAGCTTTTTTTCATTCTCTAGGAAACACATATATAATTCATCAGAAATCAGCACAAGCCCTCAGAAGAAAATAATTGCACATAAACGATTGAGAAACCCCTACAGCTTCATTTCTCCCACTGCATCTGAAGGAGGGGGCTCGCCTAGGAACCTCCTGAGTCAAAATCACAACGAAGTAGGAGCTCTTGTCCAGGTCAGTGGGCACTTCTGGGTTATTCACGAAGTCTAATATTAAAGAAAGTGGAGTGTGCAGTGAAGCTGGTCCAGCTTTCCCCAGAACACGGTGGACTAATGTCTCACAATGATATTTTCTAATGAATATTATCATTTTAGTCTTTTATTCCTACCTGCAAGCATTTATCTTCCCGGAGAAAGCAAATCCCACAATGACCAGAACAACCACTAAGACAGAGAATTTCACGAACAGAATGATCAGTAAAGATGACACTGGAGATTCTGAGGCTGTAATAATACCTTTAAATACAAACCAGGAAAAAAAGTCACTTCAAGTATTCTTTTAAGTAATAAATTAAAGTCAGTAGTTTGAAAGAGCATTTGAAAATATTTATCACAGTTCACAGATTATCAAAATCACAAATTATCACTCAAATATTACTAATGTATCATAAATTCATGGCAGTTTAGGAACTATGTCTATTTTACATTTGGTAAATTTTCAACAAATATTTTCTGAAAAAAACTAAATGTACATAATGCATTAATACTTTTCAATTTTGTAATAAAGAAGAAAACTTTCCCATGCACATTATAGTCTTTTGAAGAGGCATTATTCTTAATAGTTTAGGCCTGATTGACAATACTTTCTACATACAGCAAACTAATTTTGTCACTGAGTGGCTACAAAATTCCTCTAACAAAGTATTTTATATCTTTTTAATTTCATTTTGTTCCACCATTAAGTGACTCCCCAAGTTGTTTTAGAATCACACAAATTAGGACAATCATTCTAAAATCTTTTCCTCTATGAATGTGGCAGCCAAAGGGAGGTATGCATTAAATAACTTGCTCAGAGCCCAAAGACTAAACTGGAAGGGTGTCAGACAAGCTCTGAGATGCTGACAGAAAAAAGATGACAATAGGATAACAGTCCTCAAAACCTCAGAGTCCTTCGATACACATCAGATCCCTACAAAAGTTACAGACCTGAAACAGTGCTAATGTGCGTCATGATTAGAGAACACATAATGAATACTTGTTAAAGAAAGGGTTGAAGAAAAAAGGAAATAGAAAGATTAATCAGCTCTAGTTGGACTTGGGGGAAAGTGAGATTTGAGATGAAGTACACTGGTCTGTTTTAAATAGGTGGTTAGGAGAGAAAACTTTTCAAAAACAAGTGAACAACCTAAACAAATGTTTGAAGAAGAATTACCCTGAGTCATGTTTGAATAAAAAGTTGCTGCACCAGGACGTTTATAGAAGTGATACATTTTTTGTGTGATACCATGAGGGTGGATACATGTATTTACACACTTGCCCAAACTCAGAGAATCTACCTCACCAAGACATAACCCTAATCGAAATTACAGACTTGTGTGCGGACCATGAGTGCACGTGGGTGCAGTGACTGTTGTAAATATAACAACAGTGAGGTTGTCCACAGCAGGGGATGTGGTGCCTGGTGAGGTCAAAGGTTCGATGAGAATTTTCTGTACTTTCCGCTCAATTTTGCTGTGAATGTAAAACTCTTCTAAAAAATAAGATCTATTAAAAATCCAAAAATATGAAATCAAAGAGGTTCCATAATACATGAAATTCATTTTTGCCATTTTATTTTAAACACTTCTGAATTGTTCTATCACTCAGACCCTAGAGTTTCCAGCAAGGAGTCATCTCAGTCAGGTCTTGCTGTTTAAGGTTTATGAATGGTGAATTCCTATATGAGAGATGTGAAACTCAGACCCCATTGTTACAGTGAGAATAAAAGGTGCTCTCACCTCCAGCACCAGAAATAAGTAGCTTAACATAGAGAAGATAATTGGAAAAATAACTAATTCTGTTTACCTTTCTGCTAAGGCAGTGAAGCTAAAATGAATGCATGGCAGCAAATGTAATTACCTATAAACTGCTGGCCACAGTAAAAGCTCAACTTACTTGCACAAGTCAACAAAGCAACTGTCAGCTTGGCAAGTGGTTTCTAAACTGTGCTCTTGGTGTCCTATGAATGTGGCTGAAGGGCCACAGAGGGAAGGGATGGGGAGGCAGAGGAAGCTTCTGCCCAGTCCTTGCATCTGTTTATAAATCTTGGATTTCTCAGTACTTTATTTGTAAATGTTTAGTTTTATTCCTACAAAATGTCAACAACATTGTTTTGAAATTTTCAAACCAATGAGCCTTTTCTCATTGGCTATATATAGAACAGAGGAAATCCCTGCACTTGTGGGATTTGGACTACAGGTCTTCTGGCTTCAGTAGTCTAAAAATCTGGCATCATGGTGTAACAGGATGGCAGCAGTTCATACATGAATGCCAATTAATATAAGTGCCAGTAGACACTTAGTTCAAGGGGGGTATTAAAAGTGGCACAGTGCTGAGGGACAGCTGCTTGGCTGCTGCAGAACAAATTGCAGAGTCTGGAATCAAAAACTGGGAAAGAAATCAAAGGGATTCTAAACTAAAGGAGGACCTGACAGAGGAGGAAAAAGAAAAACAAACAAACAAACTAAAAAACCAGAATTCTCTGCTACCAGAGAAATAGCTCACTGACACAGTCATGTGGCCAGAGTGTAGCTGTGTAGCTGACCTGATAGGTGAGGAGTCAGCAAGAGCAACTTTGCTCCTCGCTGGAAGACAGAGACCTGACCTGCACTGGGAGGGTCTTGTGCAGTCAGAAGCAACAGTAAGAACACGAGACACTTTCCCAAGTGACCCGCCACACACGCACTGGCTGTGAATGAACCAGTGCTATAGAGCCTCGAACCTAGTCAAGGAGTAGCAGCTAGATGGCAGGACCATCATTGTATCTCCAAGTGCTTTGGGGGCTCAGATCACAGCAGCAGACAGCCCCTGGGTCATTTCAATGCTAACATTCAAGTATGATGAGGCACAGTTATAAAATAGTGAGCTTATAGACATGTGATAGTTAAAAATCAAATAGTGGCCTCTGCCTATGCTTTTGCTGCTTGCCATGTAAGCACCCTGCTAAATTCAGTGAGCACTGACTGAATCCAACTGGTAGGTTTCTGATAATGTGCTGGATCAATTTGACTATGTCTAGCTTGTACTGTCCTTATTTAAAAGAATGTATGTTGTTCCCGTCTAGCTTCAAGAACTTTGTTGGGAACAAAATGACTCAGTTAGGGATACTTTTAACTTTTCTTGCACTGCTTGAATCCCTTTTCCTCATCCCCAGGATGTTCTTGCATCCTGGTAAGCAATTCCTTTTAAGTAAATAGAACAATATATGACAACACAATTCATGTAACAATCATGTAATAACTTGATTCTTGCATTCAAACTGTATTTAAGCTAAACTCAAAACTGGCTTCTTGCTAGTGATTTGGATTCAGTTATAGTCCTTTAGTCTGCTGGCATAAAGTCAATGAAGTAGACTTCTAGATTTCTGAGGGCCAAGAGTCTTCCATTTTGTTTGAAATTGGTTTTTCTGCAACAATAACACTGGGATAATCGGGGGTGACAGTCATGCCCATAGCCTAATACCAAAGGACAGTGTGCTGAGCCAAACAGCCAAGATAATGTCTCTAATAAGGTGGGAAGATAAGATTTTGAGACAGACATAAAGACCAGTAGAAATCTACACCTAGAAGACACCTCAGGGGAATAGTCATTGCCTAGGGAAACTTCTATGCCAGTTATAAAGCTACCTAACATACGAAAAATGCAAACAACACAAGAAACAAATTAAAATTGAAAAATACAAAATAACAAGAAGCAGAAACAGAATGCCATCCCAGACTTCCAGCCCACCAAGGACAAATCCAGAAGACAATGAGATAGAGGAAATCAGAAGCCATCCACTTGAATTTACTGGAAGGACAGTAAAAGAAATAGTAGAAGAAAAAAATAACACATATGCAAGGCTATACAGGGCATCAAAACAATTACTCTCACAGGTTAAAAAAAGAGGTAACAGTCATAACGAAGGACTTTCTCAATAAATCTACAGTGGACATAGATTTAAAAAATAGAGGAGTATAAAAACAATGGAAATCACAAATATGCAACATAGAAAAAGAAATATAATACATTAAACAGATTAAAATAGAAATTAAAAATGCCATAGAAAGTTTGCAAACTGCAATAATGAAAGCGAACATAGTCTATTGGACCTAAAAGAAACAAATGTAGCCAATAATCAAACAAAAAAATCTCTGAAAAATAGCAAGATATGAAAAAATAACCTAACAACTGGAGGACAATGCAAAGAAAGGCAAGTTAAGACTGACTGGTGTCAAAGAAAATGCAGGAGTCAGCAGAAATGACAAAAACACTGTTCACAGCTTTGAAAGTCTTCATTAAAACACATCTAGATGAAAAAATACTTCTCAGATGAAGAAATATAAATGGCAAATAAATACATAAAAACTGATTTGCATCATTGGTTTTTCAAGAGATGCAAATTAAAACAACACTGAGATTTCCTCTCACTACAGTCAGAATGGCTGTCATCAACAAATCAACCAATAACAAATCCTGGAGAAGATATGGAGAAAAGGAACTTTTCTCCACAGTTGATGGGAGTTCAGACTGTGGTAAACTCTGTGGAAATCAGTATGGAAAATCTTCATAAAACTAGAATTGGAGGTCCCATTGACCCAGCTATTCCCCTTCTGGGAATCTTCCTAGAAGAACTGAAAACATATCACAGTGATATATGTGCACCAACGTTTATAGCAGCACAATTTGTAATAGCTAAATCTTGAAAAGAACTCATCAAGCAAGGAGTGGATTAAAGAGATGTGGTATTTTTATATAATGGAGCACTATTCAGCCATAAAGAAGATAAATTGAGACTTTTATAGGTAAATGGCTGCAAGTTGAGACTATATTCATAAGTGAAATAAATCAGACTCACATATGTAAACATCACATTGTCTCCCTGTATGAGAAACTGAAAGAGTAAATAAGGTAGAAAATGTACAACAGATACTGTGAGCTGGGAAAAAAACTATTCAAAAGGGAAAAAAAATGCTGGGAGAAAGAGGAAAGGAAGAAAAGGAAAAATAAAAATTGTGTATACCAAAGAAAATAAATCAAAGAGAGAGATTACAGCAAACAAATGTTAGAAGGTAGGAGAAACTCAGATTAAATATGTACAGAATCAAGCAGAGAATTAAGGCAAAGAGACCATCCAGGCCAATAACTTCACACCAGGTCAAGTGACCAGTCAGGATTGATTAGCCCATGAACATGAAAAACTCAAGAAGGGAAATCATTCAGAAAAAAATAGAAGTGATCAGTTACTAAATCTGATCTGTGGAAAGCATTAATAGTTCTTCAGTTTTGTCTATGAGCTTCACATTACCTAGCAGTAAGTACATACTTTGGAAGTTTTAAAATGTAATGCCAGCATAAAGGATATGGAAAAGAGTAAAAAAGAGAAAGCATGTACTGATTGATTTAAGAATCCTATTTGCAAATTCAACTTAATGTAATTACTAAAAGCTGCTACAACTGATATAAGGGTGGGGCAGGAATAAGGCAGTGCTGACAGTTTGTCCACTCTAGGGGGAAGTGTCTATATAATGTCAGTGTGATAAACAAGAAACAGCAATATAAGCATGTGGATTAAGAAAATGGAGTTAATTACCACAAGAAACACTTAAAGATTTGAAAGTACTTGGCTCTGGTGCATTAAATGAAGACAGAAAAGAGGGCTTGGAAAAGCAGTGTTAGACCTGTGTTTTTCAATTAGGGTGATATGTAACAAATTGACTTTATATATATTGCATTGATTAAAGTAATACTGTAATATTTTTAAATGACAAGAAATGGGAGTAGGATAGAAGCACACAATGAAGAAAATAAATATCAGATGTTATTGTAAGAAATTTGATGAGAAGAGCATAAAGGAGAAAATCATCCCAGACTAAACTCTATGAAGGCATTTTTGAGTAACTTACTCCTTCTCATGAAACCGTTTAAGTACCTGTTTGAAGTGATACTTTACACTTCAATTTAAACTATGAGTATCCTGTTAGAACACACTACTTAAGTCAATCTAATACTAGTATAGAAGAAAGCAATATAAATGGAATAATCTGCATTCTACAATGTGGCTTTTTACAAAAATGTTCTGTAATATTCTTTTAGACCTTATCTATTTTGGAAAGGGAGGGAAGATAAAATGGAGATAAAATCTTTGAAAGAAATTTCTCTGCACATTTTTAAATCCAATAAAAGAATGGAGGAAAATCAAACAAAAAACTAAAAGGATTACTAACCAGAAGGCAGAGATTCAGACAGACTCCAGTTCCCAGTCAAATGCGAGACCAAGCAGGTCACGGTGGACACGTTCCCTGAGTAGCTGCAGCTGCTCCTGACCGTCACTGTGCGGTTGCTGTAGCTGGTTGTTTCTTCCTCACTCTGGCAGTGCCCTGGTGGAATCCAGGAGATCTGTGCAGCTGGCTTGCCTGCCACTGCCTCGCACACCAAGGTTTTATTCTTGCTGAGAAAGATGTTTGCTTCAGGGTGCACTGCAGGGATGTGAGGAAAACTATGCTTCAGCCTCCAGATCAGAGTTGAAATTTAGAGAATTCGTCTCAGTCACCAATATGATGATGTGATGCATCACAATTTATTCCGCCCCTTACCTAGCACTTGGAGTTGATATTCATGTTGCAAATTCCCAGTAGAGTTTACCATTTCACAGATGTAAGTTCCATCATGTGTGACAGCCGCTCCATTAATCTGAAGGTCAGGACTCAGGTCAGGTCTAGAGGCCCACGTTATCCTCTCATCAGTGCAGTTGTCAGAGGTCTGATTTTCTTCCTTATCATAGGATTTTGTGCATAAGGTCTGACCTCTGAGGGTGATTTTCCACGTTGTTAGCAGCACGTTTGTCAGTAGGACATCAGGGCAACAGAGCACCTTCGTGGAGCCCATCTCTACAGACAGCCTAAAGTTAGCTGGACACACGTACACACACCACATGCCACACAAAAGAAGAAATGGGAAAAAACAAGCTTCACAAAGATCTTTTTATGTTGACATTTATCTATAACACATAGTATGAATCTGTATTTACACATTGCTTAGCTGGTGATCATATAGAAATATTAGATTTATGTAAAGATAAATATTCATAAGATATACGTAATATATACTATAAATGCAAATGAAACTCAAATAGGAAGCATTTTGTTCTATATTTAACATTACAATGGAATCAACATCTGTTAAAAATATATTGAAATAGTGAGGTATTTTGATATTTTGAAATTGATAGACTTCCGGGAGAACATGGCGGACAGATAGCAGCAGCTATTGAGGGTCTCTGAAAGAACCAGCTTGGAACTCAGGAATGGTGCAGAGTAAGGAGTCGTGAGCAGGTGGAGATATGCCCTGCTTACCCAAGAACAAACTGGGCTGAGAGAAACCAACTTGGAGTGCAATCCTGGTGCTATAACAGGAACAGAAAAGCCTCAGTGTGGAAGCTGGTGCCCGTGCCATTGGAAGCCGCGATTTGGGTTTTCCGCCCCGTGGCGGCTGCGTCTACATCGGCTCGGCAGGGAGAGAGACTCACTCTGAGAACGGGAATCGGCGAATGGAGTTGCAGTGAGGTGAGTGAGAGAAACTGACACTCTTCCCACGGTTTGGGAAACTCCAACAGAGGACATTCTGGGACTGGGCAGACTTGCGGGATCAGGGTGCTGCGGCGACTTCAGCCACATACCCCCCTCTCAAGCAGGATTGGTGAGAAGTGCCTAGCCTACATGACACTGCTGGCTGAGACCCACTGGGCTAGCACAATCCAGATCCCAGAGCCTGAGGGTGACCTGGAGGGCGGGGCCCCGCATAGGCTGCCTGATCTGCAACTTCCTGGTGTGCTGCGGTGGGCGGGAACCCCTAGCCGGAGCAATTCAATCAGACTGTGGCTGACAGGAAAGGAAGCTGGGCCTCCTATATACGCTTGCTTATATAAGGAACAAAGAATATGGGAAGAGGGAGCAACAACAAGAAAGGCCCTTCGGCCCCCAATCCTGAGAAACAGGCAATAGCGGACACTGCACCAATAGTCATAAAGCGCCATCTAGAGAGCCTCATAGATCAGTTCAGGAAGAAGTTATTAATGACCTGAAGCTAGAAATAAGCAGAATAGTTAGAGAAATGCTAAGCACCACCCAAGAAAAAACAGATGGTGGAATGGAAGATCAGAAAAAGAGGAGAGAATTGTTTGATGGAGAAAATAGAGAAAGCATAGAATACGTGAAGCAGGTTCAAAGAGACTACCAGGAAACTAAAAACTCTATCAAAAACTGGCATAACAGCTTGAAAGAAACTAAGGACAGACTATCTGAACTGGAGGGCAGATTAGTAATATGGGAGAATGAAATGAAAAACTTCTTAAAACTAACAAAGAAACAAACAGCAATAATACAAAGACAAGAAGATGATAAGAGGATCCATAACTTAAGAATTAAGAACATAAAAGAAGAAGTAGGGACACAAACAAATGAACTACAAAAGCTACTCACAGAAATAATCCAGGAGAATTTTCCTAATTTAGCGAAAGGTAAAGATACTCAGTTGTATGAAGCATACAGGACCCCAGCCACCTACAACCCAAACAGAGCAACACCCAGGCATATAATAATTAAAATTCCAGAAATTCAATACAAGAACAGAATATTAAAAGCTGTCAGAGACAAGAAACAGATCACTTACAAGGGAACACCCATCAGAATTACAGCAGATTTCTCTGCACAAACCATCAAATCATGAAGAGCATGGGGGGAAATAATTCAAGCTTTGAAAGATAATAATCTCCAGCCAAGATTGATATATCCTGCACAACTATTGATGGAAAAACAAGGTGCTTCCAGGATAAAGAGGAACTAGGGGAATATGCAACCACCAATTCAACTCTACAGAGAATACTACAGGATATTCTAAAAAAGAAAAATATAAAGAATCCAGAAATAGTGGCAGAGAGGCCACAATCAATGGAGCAGAAAACAAAATGAAGAAGACAAACTGACAACTAATGACAGAAAAAGAGCTCAATAGAAATGAGGCAGAGAAGATTGAATGATAGGAACAGCTATTTTGGAGAAAATGACATCTTAATAGGTAATACTGATTTAGTATCATCTTGTTTTGAAGTCTCATCAAGCTTTTGTTCTTCTGTCTCCATTGGTCTAAACAGGTTGTATCTTATTGGATTTTATTATGTATGATAGTATAAGCAAAAACTTTTAAAGACAAGGAGATTATACAGAAACCATTGTTCGTTTTCTGTTGGTTGATTCTAAATACCCTGTAATGCTGTCATTCTCTTAAATGGTTTTACATTGTTTTGATATATTTGATGCTACAGTATATGGTTATACTCAAAGATTTCAAGGAAAGAGACAATATGGTAACTACTTTTATGTCAGGATTATCTTGTGGTGAAACACTATTCTGCTTAAATGGTTATGTTTTGATCTGCACTGTTTTGCTGTTATGCCCTCTTTTATCTCAATCTCCACTTCATTATTTACTTTTTTATTTTTATCCTTTTAATTAAGGGAAAAATAAAAAATAGCAGGATATATTATAGTAACCCACTTTGACTTTTCATTATCTTGATTTAAAGCCCCCTGTATTACTCTCACCATCTTGTTTTTGACTGATGTCCCCCTATTCTGTTTTGCTTGATAGTACCAGTTTCGAAAGTTTAAGCAACAGCTGTGAAGATAGTGAGATTCATTATAACGCCCATTCTCGTTGACTATTATCTACTTTTGAAGACCTATAATGTCTCCAATGTTTTGGTTTTGTCGGCTTTGTTCTTTTCTGTTTTGTTCAATTTTATTATAACTGATGATATAGGCAATTCTATTAGAGATAGCGGGAGGCATTATGGTAACCATTGTCGATCACTTTGTATTATGCTTTTACATTATCTATTGTGTCCACCCTTTTGATTTGATTGACTCTGTTCTGTTATGTCACATTTGGTTCTACTACCTTCCAAAAAAGTAATAAGAACTGTGGGAGCAACAAAACCCAAAATGGGTAATTGTCATTGTACAAAAGAGAGGAAAAGAAAGTGCTCTAAATGATATAACTGCATGTATATTTAAGTGTATAAGATAGATAATGATATCACTGAGTTTTGTTGGATCATTGAACAGAACTGTTTGCAGTCTCACTGTTGGAATGTCCACTTTACAAGCTTTAGTTTTGTGACTTGAACAATTATTTCTAAGATAACAATATGTAATCCATTAACTAGTGATTTCCTACTGTTTATATTTTTCTGTAAATCTGTATAACTTGTACCCTTTCTCTGCTTTTTTTTCTCCTTAAATAAAATTTAAAAAAAAAGAAATTGATAAAGTGAATTCTAAATTAAATATTCTAAAATCTAATATTTTGATGGTGAGAATATTGGATTTATTACAAGACTTAAGCCCTTCAGAAAAGCAAATGCAATAGTGTGGTTATCTCCCCCTGAGTTTTTAATATATATGCAAAACATCAGTAACATCAAAACTAAATGCCTCGGGGCTGGGGATTTAGCTCAGCGGCAGAAGCACCTGCCTTGCAAGCAGGCAGTCGTGAGTTCATGAGTTGTGAGTCGTGAGTCGTGAGTCGTGAGTCGTGAGTTGTGAGTCGTGAGTTTGTCCCCGGTACTGATAAAAACAAAAAAGACAAAAAAAAAAAAAAAAAAAAACCCCTAAATGCCTCTCCACAAAAGTATCTTTTCTGCCAGAGATGGGATTGAAAAGTAGGTGGTACTTTCATTGAAATTAACTAATATGGTATTCAAGATGAATTAGTTTGAAATTCAAAATGTTAAGAGAATAAATGATGTCAACAGATCTTAAATTAATAAGCAATTTCGTTTAGGTATCCCGTGAAAATGAAAGCTGATGATGTGTAGAAATGTTTTTTTTTTTTTCTGGTGAGACAGTAGCATGTTGTATAAATATAAAAACAAGGAAAGAAAAACAACTGGGATTTGAGAAGGAGAAAAGAAGGAAGAGGAAAAAATTATATACACATGTATATACACAGTAGCCAAGATAATTGTACTAATTTCTATTAGTTCATTGAAAAGAATGGCTCGCACTTATATTGTTTGATTAGCTTGCATACCTATATGTTGTAACCTTAACAATTAATTTGAATATAACAATATGTAATACATTAACCATTGTTAATTTTCTATTATCTTGTTTTCAAATTCTGTACATTATTACTGTTTTCTCTCTAAAAAATTAAAAAGAAAACAAGAAAAGATTTATTTTCCATTGCAATTTTTTCATAAAAAGAAATTTATTAGTATAGACAACAAATAGATTGAAAGAGAGGATAGAACTTCAGATCTTGAAGACACAATGGCAGCTGGTGATAGGGGCTGTGGAGAAAAAGGAACCCTTCTCCATGTTAGTGGGAGTGTGGACTGCTGCAGCCACTATGTAAATCAGTGAAGATTCTTTAGAAAACAGGATTAGAGGTCCCATTCAATGCTGCTATTTCTTTTCCATGTATTTTCCCATGAGAATTATAAGCATCATATCACGGTAATATATGTGCTCCCCTATTTATAGTAGCACAATTTGTAATAGCCAAATCTTGACGAATGGATAAAAAAGATGTGGCATTATATACAATGGAGTACTATTCAGCTATAAAGAAGGATAAACTTAAGACTGTTGCAGGTAAATGGATGCAACTTGAGACCATACATAACTGAAATAAATCAGATTCATATGTGTAAAAATCATATTGTCTTCCTTGCGCAAGATGGTGAAAACTAAGTAAGATAGAAAATGCACCAAAAAAAAGTTGTGGTATTTTACACAATGGAGTACTACTCAGCTATAAAGAATGATCACACAGAGATATTTATAAATAAATGGATGCAGCTTGAGACCATACTCATAAGTGAGACAAATCAAACTCACATGTATAAATACCAAATAGTTTCCCTAGTATAAGAAATGATAAGAATACATAAAAGAATGTGGTAATCATGATTCCCAGTCATGTTGGTTTGAAGCCATATAATGTTTTTACTCATTAATTGGAATGATTTTAATCTGGGTTGTTCGATTTTATTGTCTGTGACAGTATGAATAGCAATTTTGAAGAAAATAAGACATCATAATAGCTAGTGCTGATTTAATATCATCTTGTCTTGAAGTTCCATCAAGCTATTGTTCGTCGGTTTCCATGGGTTTTAACATGTTGTATCTTACTTTATTTTACTATACGTGATAGTATAAACAAAATGTTTTATAGGCAAAGAGATAATATAGAAACTATTATTCGTTTTCTGTTAGCTGGTTCTAAATACCCTGTAATTCTTACATTCTCTTGAATGGCTTCACACTGTCTTGATATGTTCAATGCTATAGTATATGAAGTTACACTCAAACAAATCAAGGAAAGGGACACTATGGTGACTACTATTATGTCAGGTTATCTTTTGGTGAAACACAATGATGCTTAAATTGTTCGGTTCTGACCTATGTTGCTTGGTTACTATGTCCTCTTTTATCTCAATCTCCTACTTTTTAAAAAATTTATTTATTTTTTCTTATTTTTTAATTAAGGGAAAACTAAATTAAAAAATAGTGAGATATATTACAATAAGTTTTTTGTTTTCTTATTAACCTGATTTGAACCCGAGTATTTCTCTCCCCATTTTGTTCTGTCTGATTATTCTATATTCTATTTTGTTTGATAGCATCAAGTTTGAGGGTATAGGCAACCACTTTGAAGGCAATAAGATTTGCTATGATGCCCATTATGGTTTGAGTATTATCTTCTTTTGAAGGCCTGTAAGCTCTCGGGTGTAGGTTTTATTGGTCTTTTTCTGTACTGTTTTGTTCAATTCTGTTATACCTGATGATATAGGCAACTGTTTTCAAGATAGCAAGAGGCACAATGGTAATCATTTTTGATGACCTGGTATTCTATTTTGGCATCATATACTATGTCCATCCTGCTGTTCTAACTGACTCTGTTTTGTTTTGTCACATTTGGTTTTATTCTCTTCAAAAAAAAGTAATAAGAACTGTGGGAGTAATAAAACCCAAAAAGTGTAATTGTTATTGTAAAAAAGAGAGGAAAAGAAAGTGGTCTTAAAGATATAACTGCATGTATATTTGTATGTATGATAGAAAACCACTGAACTGAGTTTTTATTGGATCATTGAACAGAACTGTCTGCAGTCTCACTGTACATCCACTTTGTATGCTATAATTTTGTAATGTGGAAAATTATTTCTAAGATGACAATATGTAATCTATTAATTAGTGATTTCTTACTGTATATTTTTTTCTCTTCAAATTCTGTACTACTTTGTATCATTTTACTGCATTGTTTTTTTTTCCTCTTCTTTTACTTTAAAAAAAAGTGCACAATAGGATTATGAAATGGGAGGAAACTTCAAAAGAAAAGAGAAACTGGGATGGGGGAAAGGAGAAAAGACAAAAGGGAAAGAAAAAATAGAGACACACCCACAAAATAGTGTAATAGTTAAACTATTAGTTCATTGAAAAGAAAGGTTTGTGCCTGTATTGTTTGATCAATTTTTCACTTCTATATCTTGAAATATGAGCAACTACTTTATTTCAATATTCAATGTACTAGCAATAGTTAATCTCCAAAATATTGTTTTGAAATTTTGTACTGTTGTTTTTATTTTCTTCTTTAAAATGAAAAAAGAACTTTACTAAAAACTTACTGTGATACTATGAAACCGCTTTTAGATAAGTTTCTCTTCCTGTGTGTTTAGTCACACATATATTCCAAAACTGTTCAATTGTGAATTTTGTCCCTTTTACCCCAGCACTCAGATCACCATATTCTGCAGTCATCAGCTGGACTTCAGCCAGGTCATCACGGACTGTTTTTAACTAAGTTACACTCTCCATCCCTTTGGTGCAGGCCACTAGTTGTGAAAGTGTGTTACCTTCTGCAAGAGGGGATGAATTATCCTGTATAATCTGTTTTTCATCCATACATGAAGCACCTGAATCTAGAAAATATTTAGAAAAAAATAAGTGAAGTTAATTTTTAAATACTCAAATAGAAAAGTCACTGTTTTTCCTCAAAGTCTTTCACAAATAAAATGATAAAAAGTTAAAGAACAGTGGATTTTTATAGCAATGAGATATCTTTGTATGATAGCGAGAGAATGGAGACATGTCTTCATATACTTACCCAAACCCATAGAGTTTACCGCACCGAGTTAACCCTAATGGAAACTCTGGGCTTCAGGTGAGAATCATGAGTCCACATGGGTGCAGTGACTGTAGCAAATGTAACACTGAGTTACAGGATGTCCACAGCAGGGGAAGCAGTGCCTGGGTGGACTCAACAGTTCCATCAGAATTTTCTGCACTTTCCACTCAATTTTACTACAAACTAAAACTCTTTTGAATAATAAAATCTATCCAAAATATATGTAGTTCAAGGAGGTCTCACAGTGCATGGAATTCATTTCTGTCATTTTATTTTAAATATTTCTGACATGTTCTATCAGTCAAACCCTAGCATTCCTAGCAAGATATGTACCAGTCAGGTCTTGCTGATTTAAAGATTCAAGAATGGTGAGTATCTGTAGGAGACATATTTTATTCTATATAATTTACCTGACAGGAAATTTAAAAAGAGAAAGTTGCAAACCACGTTAAGGAGAGCAATACAAGAACAGATCAATGTGACAAGGAGATACAAAATATTAAGTACTAAAGAGAAATCACCTAGTTGAGAATTGTAATAACTGAACTCAAAAACTAAATGGTAGTGTTCAAAAATATGTTAGATCAAAATGACAAGCAGACAGGAAGACAAACCATGGGAAATCATCCAATCTGAGGGGCAACAATAAAATAGAATGGAAAGATTAAAGAAAGTCTAAGGAAATTACAGGACACCATCAAAGAGAATATGTATGAATTATTTGTGTAATGTATGGGAAGAAAGAGAGAAGACATTAAAAGACATGACAAGAAATGACAAATATCTCAGGTCAGGGGAGGAAAAGGAGAAATCTACATCCAGAAAACTAAATTGACACGTCCTACTATGAATCCAAAGAGACCTACATCAAGACCACAGTGCAATCAAAGTGTTAAAAGCTAAAGAGAGAATATTAAAAGCTATGATGGAAATGAGTCGTTACACACAGGAAACCTCCCATGAGACTGTCAGTACATTCTTCAATCATGCAGATCAGAAAGGATTAGCACAGTGTATTTTAGAATGTGAAAGAAGACAACTGCCCATCATGAACACCATAGCCAGAAGTGCTATGCTTCAAAATGGAGGAGAAATATGTTCTTGTACAAAAAAATCTGAAAGAATTTATTATCAGTGGATTTGCCTTATAAGAAATGCTAAAGAAGTCTTTCAATCTGGAGGAAAGGAGCATTAAGTATATATATATTTTTTTTTTTTAAAGTACTAGCAGAAGTAAGTATATCTTCAGATCTAAAACACTCATTCTGTAATAGTGCTGAGAAAAACAATTTTATTTCTAGCATTAAGGTTAAAAGACAACCATTAGAAACAACCCTAGCTATAATAATTTAAGGGGACACAAAAGATAAAAGATAAAATATACAAGATATAAACTAAGTTTGTGCCTATAGCACAAATCTACAATGTCTTATGAGTAACTCAAGAGTATCCTCATTACTATTGAAAGATAGATCCATTTTCTTCTAAAAATATCAGAATGTCAGACTTACCAGGCACAACAATAATGATGGAAATCAGTAACGTCACAGCCAAAGTTCTCACCAAGGTATACATTTGGAGTGATTTTCCACTTAAACAAGTCCACTGTAAATCAATCAATGAACTGAGTGAATCTCTTCTGCTAGGTCCTCTTGTTGACCCTTATTCCAACAATGTTGAATGTCATTTTGCTTATCTTTATCTTTATCTCCGTGGTGTACATTTTGGTTAATTAACCATAAGCAGGAAATGTCAGTGATAAAGCAAAAAAAAAAAAAAAAAAAAAAAAAAAAAAAAAACAAACAACAAAAAAAAAAAACCAAAACCGTATCTTATTTGTTCTTCCATAACCCTGAAAAGAGTAACAGACATAATATAGCCATTCACTTTAAAAGTAGCATTTCACGGGCATAAAACCTACCTGACAATGTGCAGAAACCGTAAGCGTACAACTTATTGAATTTGTACATATATATTCACTCTTACATGTACTTCCTAAACCAAGGTAGTAATATTTTACTCGGAGTTTTCTTTTGTTCCTCTCTTAGGAACTTGTGTAACTCTTTAGTTACACAAATAATTTCTTCCCAGAAATGAACACTAGGCCATTTTTTATTGTCATTCATTTATCTTACCAGTTATTGAGCCTCACCTAAATAAAATTGTTTAGACAGTTCATCATTAACACCATGTGATAGGGTTTTTTAAAATAAATGTACCACGATATAAATATACTATTTCTCTTTGAAATTGGATTATTCAAGTTTGAGGCTAATGTAAATAAAGTTTCTGTTACAGTATACACCACCACATCCAGTTTCTTTTTGTTTTGTTTTTGATAACAAATTTTTTGTAGTTCCGGAATTTAATCAGGCACTTCAAACTGAAGTTCATCCTTGGACTTTTTTATTTTATATTTTGAAACAGAGTCTAAACCTCAAGTTGCCCAGGCTAGGCTCAAACTTGTGATCCTCCCACCTCAGCATCCTGAGTTAACAAATTTCTTAGTTACATTTTCTTTTCCTGATATTGAATATAGCAATGTTAGCTTTCTTTTGTTTACTATCCCCCAAAATACGTTTTCTACCTTTTTGTTTTCTGTTTGTGTCTTTTGATGTAAAGTGAATCTCCTAGAAACAATATGTAATTGTGTTACATTTGTTTTTCCCTAAACACATGATACATAACGTAGTTACAGGTAAGAATGGACTAACTTCTGTTCTTTCTTGTTTGGTTTTGTCTGTCTCATACATTCTTTCTCAATTCTCCTTAGTGCTTTCTGATGCTTATTGGATGTTCGCTTAGTGTAATGTTTTGGTTTTATTCTCCTTCCCTTTTTTAATGTTGCTGAGTTATTTTTGTGGTTATGCGCTAGATTACAATTTACATTTCTAGTCATCTAGACTGAATTAGTATCAACTTAACTTCAATAATTAAAAAAAAAACCTTAGCTTCTAGACAACTTCATCTTTTTACTGTTATGTTAAAATTATCACAAGTAAAAATTTACATCTGTGCACCTATTTAATAGAGATTTATAGTTATTATTTAATGCACTTGTCTTTTAAATCATATAGGGAAAATTACAAACCAAAAGAGTTGTCTTTTATGTTTTGTGGTTATTTGTACCCGAGTTCCTTATTTCTTCACATCGCTATGAGTTGTTCTCTAGGGGGATGAATTTCTCCCACGTTTGTTTATCTGAAAATATCTTAATTTCACCTTTATTTTGAAGGATAGCTTTGACTGGAGTTATCAATTTTCAGTTTTTTAAAATATAACTCACCTTTTAGCTTTCATGACTTTTGATGAATAATTGGCTGCTACTCTTCCTCCAGGCCCCCTGTATGCAGTGTGTCACTTCCCTTCCTACTTTTGAGACTTTTCATTTCTCTTTTGATAATTTGATTATAATGTGTATCAGTGTGGCTCCCGGTGAGTTTATCCTACTTGCAGTTCATGGAATATGTGGTATCATATCTTTCATCAAATTGGGGGATTTTTCAAACATTATTCCTTTGAATATTCTTTCTGCCTCTTTCTCCCTCCCAACCCCACTGTACATAATCACTCTCTTGATATTGCAAAGACCTCTGAGGTTCCGTTCCGTTTTCTTCTTCTCCTTCTTCCCTTCCTCCTTCTCCTCCTTCTCCTCATATTTCTTCTTCTCCTCCTTGTGTTCCTGGTCCTCCTCCTTTTTCTACTCCCAGGTCCTTGGACTAGAGTGGCTCCACTGAGATGATCATTTTCTCTGTTTCAAGTTCTCACATTAAGTTCTTCAGTTCTTAGTTTCTGTCTTCCGCCTGCTTGAATCTGCTACTGAACTTCAGGCAGTGTACTTCATGGTTTCAGAATTTCCTTTAACCTTGCTTTACATATTTATCTTTAGCAATAGTTTTCATTTGGTGAGATTATGTTTCTCTAGTTTTCTTTAGTTTTTACAAAGTTGCCTTTAGCTCTTTGAGCATATTTAAAATACTTGATTTAAAGCCTTTGACTAGAAAATTTCATTTTCCCCACAGATGCTTTCTGTTTCCTTTTTCCTGGTGTATGGGCCATAACTTCCTGTTTCCTTGCATCTCTCATAATTTTTAATTGCTGAGCACTAAGTGTTTTAAATATTATGATGCAGCAACTCTGAAAATAAGATTTGCCTCTCCCTGGAGATTCCTGATTGCTACTATTATTGATCTTTTGTTCGTCAATTTTTAAACTAAATTTTAAAGTTAACATCACATTGTGTGTGCCTACTGACTTCTCTGTTGCTTATGAATCTTCTATTGGTTTGAAGTGATTTCTTTAAATATCTGCATTTAAGAGAAGATATCTCCTAGTTCTTGCAGATGAATTAGGGAACACATTCAGCACCCACTAGACAGTTTACAAATCTGCCTTGGACTTTATTTTCTGCTTGCCTGTCAGCCAGAGTTGAGAATTTAGAGGCTTCTCAGTCTTCCCGAGTTTGTGTTCAGCCTTGGGCATGTAGGTGGCCTTTCAGTTCCCCAGGGGATAGGGTAGCTTTACAAAGTTCACAGCCTAATAGTATCTGCTTTGCAAGTCTCTTCCTTCCTAGGCTTTGGTCTGTCTGCTGTTTGTCCCATTTTTATCCTTGATCAAATGCAGCTGCCACAAGACTATGTGCTATTAAGTAGTTTTTAACAAATGCCTGGGTAGGATGCTCCAGCTCTAGGACAGTTCCAACATGAAAGAAACAGAGGCAGGCTTTTGACTGATCCATCATAGAGCCACTAGACAGGTCAAAGCATATGGCTACAATTCTTTTCAAAAACAAGATTGATTGTGCCTCCACCCCGTCACCATAGACACTGTCCAGGTGGGCTGTGGGGCTATAGTTAAGTTAGAATGCCACACCCCTCTCTTCCTGAAGTTTAGCAGCTTTTCTCTTCTGTAAGTATTCCCTTGTGGTGGCCTGTTTCTAACATTAAATTCCAGAGTCTCAAAGAAGTTGAGTTTCACAGTCTTTGCTCACTTAATTGTTGCTTTAGTAAAGGAACAGAAGAGTTTTGGCATTTCCTACTCCAGCACTTTCGTTCATGTCACTCAATATTTTTGCTTTTAAGTGCTCCTTGACCATCTCCATGGCACAGTCACTAACACTCTGTATTTTTTAATTTGCTGCAGGCTTGCTGTCCTGTAAAGTTAAACTCTTCTCGTCACCCTGGGCATCATCTGCTTCCTGTATAGAAAAGATGCTCACTTTAGAGTTATTTTTGAAGACTTTACAGTCTCCTACAAATACAGCTTCACCTTCTTCTGCAGAACATGTCAGGGACTCCTGTGCCCACACAGCAGTTCACACTCAGCTTGCATCTCCAGCCCACACTGCTCTAGGCAGCCCTTCTCCCGTCTCCTCCACCTGCCTCTCTAAAGTGTACATTTTAGCACTGAAATAGCCACACGAATTTCCTGTTCAGTTTGATTTTATCACAGATATTTCCACCACTAATACAAACACTTCATATAATAGCACTAATTTCACAACTTTAAACACAATCTTTGTGAGAGGCAGGTAATAGTTTCTCAGAGTGTGGTCACTTGTGCTTATTATAGGTTATTACAGGTATTAAAGCATACAATATGCTCGCTTTTATTGTTTTTTTGTCTTGTTTTTGTTTTTTCTCATCTGAACCACAGACAAGTCTTTCATTGTTACAGCTTCTGTATTTGCTCTAACATTTGAGAATAATTTCGTTTAATCAGTAGTCTCTAAAAAGCTTTGATAAAGAATCAGAATTTACTTTGTTCCTGAGGGTTTGAGATTTTAGTTTTGGGTTTCTTTTTAATTTCTTTTTCTTTTTAACACATAATAAAAACTAATCCTGTTGATTTCTTCATAATTATGTTGTTAAGTTACAGATCTCACCATATATTCAATGAATTGCATCACAGAGAGAAATAAGCAGTCTGAGCAATACTGGGTTGTAGTGTATCTTACGTATAGCTTTGTAGAGGACAGGAGAATATTCAAAAAATAAATGGGTCAGAGATTTAGCTCAGTGGTACAGGTGCACACCTGGCAAGCAAGAGGTCGTGAGTTCAACCTTTGATACCAAAAAAAAAAAAAAAAAAAGAAACTCTCTCTCTTTTAACCCATTTTGTTCCATCTTATATTCCTTTAAAACAGACGAGTGATGTTTCCCAAAATAAGAAACTATTGTGGATGATGATCAATGAATCCATTTAAATATTTAAATAAGACTAAATGCTTCAAATAATTAATGCTAAAGAACAAAATATAAATAATTTAAATATTCAAAATGTAAACATAATAACAAATATGAAAATGGAAGGAAAGTTTGAAGAAATGCAAATTTGTTACAATTTTTATCTGTTATAGCATAGTGTAAGCCCCAGTCCTAGCAATTTAGCAACTTAGTGAGACCTTGTCTCAAAATAGAAAGTAAGAAAGGGTTGGGCATGCAGATCAGTGTGAAGGTCTTGTGTTCAATCACCAGTACCACACACACACACACACACACACACACACACACACACACACACACCAGGAATCCCTTTGTTTGTAAAATTAGACAAAAATGTCTAAAACAGAGTGTAAGTTCAGAACAAATTTAGAACAAATGTAACTGTTAACCACTGGAATTGTGTTCCATAACTTCAAAAACAAAGACCCACAGCACAATTTGGACAGACTAAGACAATTAATGAATTTTCTTTAATGTTTTCATTCTTGACAATATTTTCTAACTTTATATAATATTTAAAGAAAGAGAACTGTAAGTTGACTTAGCACTAAATAATCTCTGCAAAGCTTTGACTATAAAGCCTTTTCACTTATAAAGAGAAGCCTGTTTCTTTTTAAATTATATTCTCCCACAAAGTTCACTGGCAAAAGTAAATTAAAAAATGTTCCACTTATCAAGAGAAACCTGTTTCTGTTAATTTCTCCTACAAAGATCATAGGACTTAGCTCCACATTCCCCCTTGTACTCCCGTAAATAGTTGATGAAATTCATGAGTGTCTGCAGAGCGTGAAAGACTGGTATCTCGAGTCTCACTTTTGTTTTCTATTCCAGTGAGAGTTATTGTTGCTTTCAGATGATGTCAATCAATTTGTTCCTAATACAGATAAATAAAACTCAGAAACACAGAGGTAAAAATAAGATACAATAACAGAAACACGGCTACTCTTCATCATTTCCATTCTTCTCTACATGTCTGTGTATAATTATTTTCATACACATTATTGGGGTTTGTGTATGCATGTCCCCCAAGAGCCGGATGTGTTCATAGGTGGGCATTTTACTACTGTCCCAGTGCCCCCTGGGACTCACCGGTGTTATCTGCCCACTTCTGAATCTTCCTAGTACTTTTCCCCTTCTCATCACTCACTGCCTACCTTGAGTTTCTTCTCTAGCCAACAAAAACTTTCATGACTCTTTGTATTTGCATGTACAATCACCTTTATTCAGAATCCCTTCTTTCTACTGTGTTAGCTCAATTAACTTCTTAAACTCCTGTCAAATTTCATATATTTTCAAAATTTCTCTTTAAATTCTTCCCCTTCCATCTACCATACAACTGTCACTGTGTCTTCCATAATTCCATAACTGCATCACAGCAACCCACAGGAGAACTGGCAACACAGTAATTGAAAATAATGGGACAACACAAATGTCACCAAAAGTAGCACATGTATAAGATGACTTGAAAAGAAAAGGAGCAAAGTAAAAGGAAAGAGCTGAACTTTTAGAAATGAAAAATATAGTTATTGAAATTAAATGTGATAAATTTAAAAATATAATGGAGACAGTAGAAGGAAAATAGTAGTGGGTAACACTGACCTGAGAAAACACATTTCACTGCAACAAGAAAATATATAGGAAAATGAGAAAAGAAACAGGGAATAAAATAAATGGAGAACAGAATTAGAATTTTAATATAAGTCAATTAGAATTTCCAAAGGAAATGATTCAGTGAATGAATAAGTTATAATAATCAGATCAGTAACTACAAGCCTACTAACCTATGGCCACAAAAATATAAGACAGAGCAGGTCACATCAGGCACATTGCTGTCTGCTCAGTGACTTATGCTCTTCACAGTCACTTTCCCTTCAATTTAATTCTAATGCTTAGTATTGCAATTTTCATCTCGGGCTCAGAAGATCTGTACTGCCTGCTTCCTTAAAACTAGTTTTGTACACTGCAGCTTTGTTCTTCTCCAGGAGAGAGATTACCTCTGGAGATTCTGCAGATGAAGAAGGTTACTTCAAGTTTAGTATTTGAAAAGCAACAGAGCCCACCTATTGCCTGTGAACCATTCTGTGTGTGTGTGGTGGTGGTGGGGGGGATGCGGTGAGCCATACAGGAGAGGATAAATCCCTCCCACTGTCTCTCCACCATTCTGAGAACCTTGGCCCACAGGAACCCAGGTGCTTGGCCCATTCCCCTGCATCGTGGGATGGGCAGCCAGTGTAGGAAGCACCCTAGTCTTGACAACTGGCTCCTCTGGACAAACGCAGGTAAATTCACTCTAACAAGAGAAAACACTTTGCATACAAACTGTTAATTTATGATTGATTCTATTTTTTAGCTGTAGACTTTGATTCTATGGTGTAAAATACAACAGCAATAGTTAGTACAGCTTGTCAATTCTAAACATGCTTGATGCTATCATTATCACTAACTCTATTACTGCAGGTGTGATATCATATCTGTTGGGATTAGTTGTTCTCCATTGTGTAACAGTATTGACAAACTCTAGGGTAATAAGCTTCCCACAGCCTTACATCAAAATACTGGTGACTGAGCCAAACAAAAGCCAACATTCCACTCTCAATTAATTGAGAAGGTAGGATCTTGAGATAGAAACAAACCAAGAATTTCCTACACACAGAAGATGTCCCTGAAGAACAGACTTCTCCTAGAGAGGCCTTGATACTAGTGATAATGCACTTATCACCAAAACTCACAAGGATTATCACAGAAAACAAAATGAAAAGTTTTGAAATACAAAATGTCAAGAAAAAGAGCAAAATGTAATTTCAGACCTCCAGGCCATCCAGAACAAATCCAGAAGACACTGACATTGAAGAAATTGGAAGTCACAAATCTGAAATTTCTCAAATAGCAATTTAAGTAAAGAAACAACTCCATGAGTCTGTGGAGGAAATAAGATCAAAAACAATCTCTTAGGTTTAAAATAGAAATTATAACCATAATGAAAGAATTGCTGAGCCTATCTAAAGAAGACATATGTTTAAAAAAAAAGAGGATCATAAGAAAATGACGGAAACCTTGAATGAACAACATAGCAAAGAATAAGAATGAATAGAACACATTCAGATATTGAGCAAATTAAAAATTCCATTGAAAGCTGACAAAACCACTTCAATGAAATTGAAGATAGACTTTCAGACCTTGAAGAACTACAGCTAGTGAGTACAAAAGAAAAGATCTCTTGAAAACAATAAGAAATCAAGAAATAACAATTCAACATTTTCAAGATGATGCAAAGAAAAACAATATAAGATGATAGGTGTCAAGAAAAAGCAAGAATTAACATAAATTACACAAAAACACTGTTTGCATAAGTAATAGATAAAAAATATTCCAAGCATGGGAGTAGAATCTGACATACAGATAAGTGAGGAATATAGAACTCCAATTAAACATAAGCAAAATATATCAAACCCAGACACATAATCAAGATTCCAGAAATTCAACACAAAACAGAACATTAAAAGCTGTTAGACAAAAGAAACACATCAACTATAAAAGAAACTGCATTCAAGTCAAGCTGACTTCTCAATATAAATTATCAAGTCAACAAAAGCCTGGAATAAAATATTTCAAGTCAAGGAAAACACCAAATTCTAATCAGGATTGATGTACCCTTCAAAGCTATCTTTCAAAGTTAATGGAGAAATAAGATATTTGTACAACAAAGAAGTTCATGATCATGAAACCAACCCAAGAAAGAGTACTAAAAGACCAACTAGAGAGAGATAAAAATTACTACAATTCCCAAAACAACAACAGAAAGAAATCAACAAGCAGACCAAGCAATTAAAAAGAGGGGAAAAGCAAGAAAACAACAGCAGAAGACAATATGACAAAGATAAACCAGTACATATCAATTATAACAATTAAGGCAAATGGCCTCAATTCACCAATCAAAATAAACAGACTGGCACAGTGGTTCAAGAAACAAAATCTAACAATATTCTGTATACAAGAAACACATACAACCCAAAAGGAAATTCATAGACTGATAGTCAAAGCATGAAAAATAATAATCCATGCAACAAGAACCCAGAAAAAAAGCAGCAGTCAGTAGCTATCTGTTTGCAGACAATGTGAGCTTCAAATCAAAATGATCAAAAGAGGTAAAGAAGGTCACTACATGAAATCTTTACAAAGATTTAAAGGCTGGCATGTTGAACCATCAACTTCCTGAACTGTGATGTCTCATATGGTGAATTCATACCAAAAAGCCAAGGAGGATGGGGATTTAGCTCAACGGGGCAAGCACCTGCCTGGCAAGCACAAGGTTATGAGTTTGGTGCCTGGTTTTAAAAAAAAATGGAGGAGGGGCTCAAAAAGTTTAAGGCCCCACAAGTGTCTTCTATCAGCAGCCTTAGAACCTGATATTAGACAATGAGAAGGGTAGTGATCTATCATAACTGTTTTTACACCAGTGGCTCCTAGCTGAATTCCTGTCTTACAGCTGAAACTCAATAAACATTTTCTTCATTATAGTAGTAATTCCTTCTGGTATTCTACTTAATTTTAATATCTAGCAAGTCCAATACAGCACAAATAAATTCAAAGGAATAGGACACAGGGGATCTACAGAATGATGAGTGAGCCTTCACATGCCCACAGAATAACAAAAGTATGTCCATGTCTTAATTCCTGGAACCTGTGAATTTAACTGTTTTGGGGGGAGGAAGGGGAGCAAGTTTTTTCCACAGCTGTAATGAAGTTAAGGTTTTTCAGATGAGATAATCAGCGATGAGTTCTGGGTCCAGATGGGTTCTAAATTCAATAACAAGTATTCTTTAAAAAGATACATAGAAGAGAGACGCACACACGTGCACACACACATGGGAGAGAGGCAGGTTTGCAGTGATGATTCTACACCAATAACTTCAGACACTCACCAAAAACTAGAAGTAAGATGTGGAACTGATCCTCCTCCAGAGCTCCAGAAGAAACTGAAACCACTGTCACTCTGATTTCAGACTTCAAGATTACAGAGTGCTCAGAAAATGATTTCTGTTGCTTTAAGCCACTAAATTTGTGATCCCATGTTATGGCAGCCACAACAAATAAATACAGAACCTATTGGAAATCCAGAAACAGCAGAATACAATTTTTCCCCCAAACATTTCAGTGGCATTGACAGTTTCCCTTCCATCCTGCATATAGTTCTTGGCGAAATATGGGCCACAGTGTCTAGCAAAAGTCACTGCCTGAGGACTTCCTCTTTCTGGGTTCCGGTCCAGTTTCAATTTAGGTAAATGATTCTTTCTCTCTGGACTTTAATTTCCTTACTCTAAAAGGTCATCGCCCACTGGCTGCATCCACATACTTCCTGCAATGTCTGAGGCAGAGCAGAAGGGAGTGAGCTTGTGGGAGGGGTGTGTGTAAGAAAGAATCACATGAACCACACAATTTAAAACCTGGCGTGTACAGTGTTAAATGGCACAAGCTGTTTAGCTCTAGTAGTAGCCTCCCACCAGTGAATAGGAGGCTGCTTTTTAACTTTGCAATGGGGACTTTTTTTCACTTATTTTTCAGACAGCCCAGGCCAAAGCTGTATGTCACTACATTTATATGAGGAATCAGCACTCTTTAGGGGACACAGCTGTGCCAGCTGAGTGCCTGCAGCTGAATCAATATAAACTGTAAGCTAGAAAATTGGTCTGTGCTGAAAGAACATCAGTCCCAAGACAGGCCACCTGGAACCTTGAGCTGTCACATGGAAGGTTAAACCTTCCTTGTCAGCTCATAAACTGAGCTGTCCTTGCTGTTCTGTAGCTAGCTTAGGTGCAAACAGCAACCATGTGAAATGATTGTGATACTGTAGTCTCCCATTATAGCTGGTCCTGAAAGTTCATGAGAGGGACCACTCTGGGATTCATCTGAGGGACCGGCATGCAAGCTCCCAAGACAGTCACAGGAAGACTCAGGGAGCGGGACCAAGAGCAGATGGCTATTAAGTCCATGTGAGGACCCACCCTTGTCTTTTCCCATCCTTGTCTGGGTTCCAGGGATTTCCTTTTGTATCCTGAGCAACGCTTCACTAATTATCCACCTTATGAAGAATCTATTTGTAGATTTAATTTTCTGAGGGATGCATGACAGCAAGCATACAGCAAACATTCTAAATCTGAGAAGCAAGCAAAGCTTATCTCACAAGGCCCTTCCAGGCATGGGAACTATATGCAGACTGTCTATCTGGAAAGCCTGATTATGTCCTTACCAACTGTGGAACTTTGCTTCTCAGAGTCTCAATTTCCTCATTTGTGAAATAATACTATTTAACACATAGTATTATTGCAAATATCACAATTATAAATGCGCAGGTTCCCATTAACACACATTTAAAAGATTGAAGGAATTTAAAGAAGTAGACAATTCAACACAGAGTAGGAAATTTCAATTTTCTTCCATCACCAATTGCTAAACTCTAGGGAGAAAAAAAAAAAAAGACCGGAGAAAGGAAAAAAGAATAAAATCATAGAAAATCAGAGCAGCTCTATAAACCAATTTGCTCACGTGACACTTATAAAGCACTAAAAAGAACAATCATAACATACACATTTTTTGTACAATTGCCACAAAATCACACAAATTCACTCCTTGACCATACCACATTTTTATTCATTAGTCAAAGATAAAACACAAGGGAAATTAGGAAAATATTTTGTTGAATGAAAAGAAGGAAGCTAGACTATAGGTTTAAATTTTTATAGAAAACCTACAAATTCTAAAACAGTGACACACAATTCAAAATGAAGAATCTCCAAAATACAAAATCAAAGTAAATATAAAATAAAAGAAAGAAGAAAATTCATAAGAAAACTCAGCAAAACAGAAAATACTAGCAACTAGACTACAACAACATGCTGAGAATATGATAGAGCATGACCAAGGGAGGTTTTTCCCCCTGAATGCAAATTTCAAAATTCAATCAATGTAATTCATCATATTAACAGAATATGGGAGAGAATCTATATTGTTTCAGTATTTTCAGGTAAAGATTTGAAAAATTTAACCCCCTTTCATGATAAAAGGCTAAAAATTATAAGAAACTTTCTCAGCCTGATAAAGTATATCTTTAAAATTAAATCTACAAGTATCATCCTTAATGCTGAAAGAATGAATATTCTTTAAATAAGGAACAAGTTTTCTGTTCAGTCTAATTGATTCTATTCAATTATCTTTTGCAGGCTTTAGCCAGTATGGCAAAAGGAAAAGAAAGAAAAGGACAAAACTTTGGAAAGAAGTATTTGCAAATAATACAACTGCTTAGGTAAAAACACTAAGAACTACAAAACAACTACTAGAACTAATGATTTTAGCAACATCACAGGATATTAGTAGCAAAAAAAAGTCTCTCTTAAAATCTGACCCAGCATTAAAGGAAATACCATCATTTCCTTGGCTCTTCTTCTTCTTCTAATTCTTCTTCTTCTTCTTCTTTCTCTTTCTCTTTCTCTTTCTCTTCCTCCTTTTCCTCCTCCTCCTCCTCCTCCTCTTCTTCTTCTTCTTCTTCTTCTTCTTCTTCTTCTTCTTCTTCTTCTTCTTCTTCTTCTTTTTCTTCTTCTTCTTCTTCTTCTTCCTCTTCACCAGATAATACAAAGAGTACCAAAAGAAAAACTAGAGAGTGTTCAAAATGACTACAATTCCCAGAACCACAGCACAAATAAACCACCAGGCTGGGCAAGCAATCAAACAAGAGAAAAAGGAAGGAAACAACAACAGGAAAATAACACAACAACATTAAACTAGTACGTATCAGTTATAACCGTTAATGTAAATGGCCTCAATTCACCAATTAAAAGAAATAGATTGACAGAATGTATCACGAAACAGGATCCAACAATATGCCACATACGAGAAACACATTTGACTCAAAAGGAAACTCACAGACTGAAAGTCAAAGAGTGGAAAACAATATTCCATGCACAAGAATTCAGATAAAAGCAGGGGTAGCTATTCTGCTTGCAGACAGTATAAACTTCAAGTCAAATGTGATCAAAAGAGATAAAGAAGGTCACTACATACTTGTTAGGGGAAAAACTAAAGAGGAAGAGATAAAAATCATAATTATATATGCATCAGATACAGGAGATCCCAAATGTATATGATAAACATTAATAAACATAAAAAGCAAAATATGCAATAATACAAATGTAACATGGGACTTTAATACCCCATTGGCACAAAGAGATAGATCAACAAGACAAAAAGTCATCAAAGAAATAACAGAACTGAATCAAACCTGTGAACAAATGGAATTATTAGATGTTTACAGACTGTTCCACCCGAAAACATCCAAATGCACATTCTTCTCAGTTGCACATGGAACATTCTCTAAAATAGACCATACATTACCCTATAGAACATGCTTAAGTAGATGCAAAGATATTGGAATTATCCCATGCATATTATCTGACCATAGTGCCCTGAAATAGAAATTAATGACAAAAGAAACTGCAAAACCTACATAAACACATGGAAATGAAATAATACCTTCCTGAACAACAATCAGTTACAGAGGAAATTAAAGAATATCTACAATTCAATAAAAATGCAGATACAATATATTGAAACCTGTGGAACACAATGAAAGTGGCCCTAAGAGGGAAATATTCAGCATTGAATTGTCACATCAGGAAAACAGAATGAACACAAATAAACAATTACCGGTAACATCTCAAATTTCTAGAAAAAGAAGAGCAAGTCAAACCCAAAGGCCCTAGAAGAGAGGAAATTATAAAGATCAGAGCAGAAATTAAAGCAATTCAGATTAGGAAAACAGTACAAAGAATTAATGAATTGAAGAACTGGTTCTTTGAAAGAATAAACAAGATTGTTAAACCCCTAGCCAACCTTATCAACAAAAAGAAATAAAAACTCAAATTCATGCAATAAGGAATTAAAAAGGTGAAATTACTATGGATCCTGTGGAAATTCAGAAGATTATGAATGTCTACTTTGAAAATCTTACTAACATAGGCCAGAAAACAGGAAATGGACAGATTCCTAGAAACATAAATTACCAAAGCTGGATCAAGAAGACATAAAAGTTCTGAACAACCCAGTATTAGTTACTGAAATTGAAAACATAAATAAAAACTTATCAACAAAGAAAAGTCTAGGTCATGATGAATTCATAGCTGAATTCTACAAGAAGTTTAAAAAAGATTTAATCTAATATTCCTCAAAATCTTTAATGAAATGGACAAAGAAGCAATTCTCATTCCTGGAGGCAAGTATTACTCTGATACTAAAATCAGAGAAAGACCCAACCAAAGAGGAGGACTATAAACCAATCTCCCAAATGAACGTTGATGCAAAAATTCTCAATAAAATACTGGCAAATAAAATGTAGCAGATCATCAAGAAGATTATACATCATGACCAAGTGGGATTCATCCAGGAATGCAAGGATGGTTCAATATATGTAAAATAGTAAATTAATGTACCACATCAACAGGGCAAAGACAAAAATCACATGATCATCTCAATAGGTACAGAAAGAGCTTTTGATAAAGTTCAACACTTGTTCATCATAAAAACCCTGCAGAAAAATCCAAAAAGATAGTCTCTACATCAACTGAATAAAAGCCATCTGTGACAAACCAACAGCCAACATCTAATACTAAATGGACAAAAACTAAAGCCTTTCACTCTAAAATCAGAACAAGACAAGAATGCCCACTATCATCACTCCTATTCAATATAATTCTGAAAACTTTAGCCAGAGCAATTAAACAACAGAGAGAAATAAAAAGAATAAGAATAGGAAAGAAAGAATTTAAATTATCAGTATTTTCAGATGACATGATACTCTACATAGAAGATCCCCAAAACTCCATCAAAAAACTATTAGAGTTAGTAAGCAAATTCAGCAGTGTAGCTGTATATAAAGTCAGCACTCAAAAATTAGTAACATTCCAATAACACAAACAACAAACTCACTGAAAGAGAAGTTATGGAATTAACAGCTTTCACAATAGCATCCAAAAAATGATATACTTAAGAATCAACCTAACAAAGGATATAGTAGACATATACATTGAAAACTCTAGTACCCTAAAAAGGAAATTGAAAAGGATGTCAGAAAATGGAAAGACAGTCCTTGCTTTGGATAGGAAGAACGAACATAGTAAAAATGGTCATCCTTCCAAAACTGTGACAG